GGTGAATGTGTATGCTCTGACTTTAAACATAGCTATTTCTGTGACCAGTTACAAGCTAATCACTCAGCTATTTCAATGCTAAATTCTATGCTAATTCCTTTGTCAAGGGGTGCCTCTGCGGATGTGTATGCTTTAACTTAGCTATTTCAATGCTAAATTCTATGCTAATTCCTTTGTCAAGGGGTGCCTCTGCGGATGTGTATGCTTTAACTTTAACATAGCCATTTCTGTGACCAGTCACAAGCTAATCACTCGGCCATTTCAATGCTAAATTATATGCTAATTCCTTTGTCAAGGCGCTTTGTTTCTTCTGACACAGCTTAAAGGTCGTGATCTGAACGTGGCTTTTTTCACTCCAGCGCTGTCCTACCAGACAGTCTCGTCCCTTCACCTGATGAAGTCCGCTTGTGTTGTGGCCGAAACGTCGTGAGAATATTATTGTGTTATTTTATTTTATCAATTTATTATTTTATTCTCATTCTACGTGACTTTACCGAAAGAACCAAATAAGATAAAGTTATTCACTTTCTTTTTAGTTTTTTATTCGTCACGAAGATCGAAAAAAAATACTTTAAAAAGTTAGTTCTTCACTTTTTTATTATTTTTACTATCTTCGTGACTTTACCGAAAAAAACAAAGAATACGCAGCACATAATGACCATTAAGCCTCGTTGTTGGATATGGTGCTGTTGACGACGACCTTTGTAGAAGCTAGGACTGTTCATCGAGGTAAAAATAACCCACTGTGAATATTATATTTTCCTCATTAAAACATTTTTATGTTATTTTTGCGTGCGTGTAAATGGTAAGTCCCTTCTTCTCCACCCTATTATTTTTCAAGTCGAGTTGAGATGCGTTTCTTTATTAAATACTGATAATAATTTGGCGGCAAAATGAATAATTCGCGGGGGAAATGACGATTGGCGGGGAGGGAGGGCAGAATCATCCCGTGGGATTCCACGGATGCCATCGTCTCATCGCGAACATTATCGATGAGATGTTGACGGGTCTGTGCTCTTGTTGGTGGCTGAGTCATTGCTAAATGTAGAGGTTAAATAACTCCCTCACCACGCCCGTCGCCTCCACACCTCGGCTCGCAGTCACGGACGCACATTTCTAATCACCGCGACCGAGGAATGCAACATCATCAATACATTCTATAAAAACACGTCATATACAGTATATTTATAGACTGTATAGAGAAGAGAAACGGAGGTAGCTGCCACGGCGGTGGTGTCATGATGACCACCCAGCAACCAGCCACCGCCGCCTCCTCCACAAGAACCGCAGTGACCTACGTGGGGAAGTATGGACTAAGACAAAGGCTCCCCGTGTAACATTTGGCAGACCCTTGGGGCAAGTGCTGCTGTTAGCGAGCAGCACCTATGGAGGTCGGCTCGGGGCGCCAGCTATGACGGTGTGAGGCCAACCCCACGCCTGCCCGGCCGCCTTTGTCTCCCCGGTGTTGATGTTTACTACAGACCGCACCATGCATGTGCCCTTCTAAGACTGAGAAGAAGAAGAAGAAGAAGTGTGTGGTCACAACCTCCCGATGAGCGTAGTGGGTTGCCGGGCTGTAGTACAATGCTGTTATTGTTGAACTTGCATCTTCACACAGCGCGATATTCGTTGTGCGCCCCTCGCTGAGAGGTGTCGTCACACAAGCTTTGGGGGTACACACACTAATATACACACACACACTAATATACACACACACACACTAATATACACACACACACACACTAATATACACACACACACTAATATACACACACACTCACACACACTAATATACACACACTAATACACACACACACACTAATACACACACACACACACTAATACACACACACACTAATACACACACACACTAATACACACACACACTAACTAATATACACACACACTCACACACACTAATATACACACACTAATACACACACACACACTAATACACACACACACACTAATACACACACACACACTAATACACACACACACTAATACACACACACACTAACTAATATACACACACACTAACTAATATATACACACACACACAAATATACACACACACACCACGGGGTACACACACTAATACACACACTAACACACACACTAATACACACACACTAATACACACACAACAACAACCGCCATTCGCCACTAAGTGGCGGTGACGTCACCACGACGCTTGTGCCAGGACATGTGCACCTTGAGGCCACGTGGAGTGTCGAACGCCCGCTGGTTGGAGGTCACGGGGCAGACCCAGGTGCCACGGGTCGACTGACTGAGATGACTGGCTGATGCACCACCTGTGCCCCCTACTGTGCCAACCTGCTGTGCTTTAGCCACCCGGCGCTCCGCTCGTTGTTGTGAGCGTCGCTCCTCCGCCCTCCGTTGTTGTTGGAGGGCGACTGCCTCCAGCTGCCCAGTAGCGTCCTTCACGAGCCTCCTCCACAGAGGCCGATCTTGACACCGCTGGTACCAGTCATCGGCAAGTCCACTCAGCTCCACGTCCTCCTGTACCACATCACTCCATCTCTTCTCTAGCCCGTGCCGCGCCCGTTTAGCCCCCTCGATCCGGCCGAACAAAAGCTGTTTCGGCATGCGGTGGCTGGGCATGCGGGCTACATGACCCAGCCAACGCAGCCTTGCCTGCCGGAGGAGCTCACCGATGGGACCTTGCCCAGATCTTTCAAGGCTTTGTGAGATCCTCACACAATCCAGTCTGGTTAAACCCAGGATGGATCGTAGGCAGGCCAGCCTAAATGTTTCTAACCGGCAAAGGTGTTCCATTAGGGGGGTCCACGTTTCGCAAGCGTAGAGAAGGGAGGGAATGACCGTGGCCGAGAAGACCTGAAGCTTAGTGGAGCGACAGACCAGGTAGCTTCCACACAGCGTTACGGAACCGATGAAAAGATATTGCCGCTCGACTGATTCGGAGTGAGACCTCTGCTGTTAAACTGGAGCCGGTCATAAGCACACTTCCCAGGTATGGGAAACTCTCCACTCTCTCCACAACTGCCCCATCACCGATTGGGAGTTGTGGGGGTGGAGTGTCCGATGGTACAAAATACCCAGGCAGGTGCTTAGTTTTGGTGGGGCTGATGGTAAGGCCCCATTCTCTTAGTGGCACGCTCCAGTCTCAGCAGCAGCTTCTCCAACTCCTCCTCTGAATGAGCAGCTATTACCAAATCATCAGCATACATAACGTGGTTGAGCAATAGGGGTACACACACTAATACACACACACACCACAGGGTACACACACTAATACACACACACCACGGGGTATACACACCACGTGATATACACACCACGTGATATACACACCACGGGGCATACACACCACGTGATATACACACCACGGGATATACACACCACGGGGTATACACACCACGGGGTATACACACCACGGGGTATACACACCACGGGGTATACACACCACGGGGTATACACACCACGGGGTATACACACCACGGGGTATACACACCACGTGATATACACACCACGGGGTATACACACCACGGGGTATACACACCACGTGATATACACACCACGTGATATACACACCACGGGGTATACACACCACGTGATATACACACCACGAAACCGGTAAGAAATAGCGCGGGAAGATATCAGCTGCAGCAGTTACAGCTGATGATGATGACTGAGGAGGATGGAGAGATGATAATGATTATGGGGATACAGTATAATAATGATAGTGATTATTACAATGTGGAGGAGATTATGATGATTTGACAGCCGTGTGCATTAACAATTAATGTGTCACATTGACATCGGTTTAACAATGTCTCGGCGCTGCCGAGACTCCGGGAAGGCAAACCCCATCCGTGTTTTCATGCATAAAACAAATGCTGCGTGGCAACTCTTTGGCTCGGAAAGCCGAAATTCTGGCCGAGGGAGTCGCCTGTGTATGCACTGCTGGAACGAGAGAGGCCGAGAGAGAGAGAGCAGTCCCCCAACTCATCATCAGCAGCAGCCTCACGCGCACATCATCAGCATTGAGGCATAGGGCGCACATCTCCTGGTCACAACCATGCTCACTCGGCCAGTAGTGTGCATTCCACATTCATATGGCCGGCAGGATAGGAATTTTATATATATAGGACGGCCACTTCTGATCTTCCCCCACAATGTAGTACCTATTTCATCGGCCACAGACGGAGTGACGATGGGCTAAGAGTGAACGGCCCCCAAACAGGAGTTGAACTCGCAGCCTTCCACTCGCGGGTCGCCGCTCGCTCGACCCAGGAGCCACCTGGGCCGGGTTCGCTGCATCGCAGTGGCGAGAGAGGGACCTGAACTCGGCTTCGTGAGCTCCGAGGCCGGGACGGGAATCACTCGCCTCGCTGAGCATGGGATTCCACACCCAGACAGAACGAGGAGGAAGGGGGCGAGGAGTGGAACGAGGTGGAGCGGGACGAGGTGGAGGAGCGAGACGAGGTGGAGGAGCGAGACGAGGTGGAGGAGCGGGACGAGGTGGAGGAGCGGGACGAGGAGGTGGAGCGGGACGAGGAGGTGGAGCGGGACGAGGTGGAGGAGCGGGACGAGGTGGAGGAGCGGGACGAGGTGGAGGAGTGGGACGCTCACGCACCGTGATGAATGGCAGTGACAGCGCACGGCTGGAAGCTAAAACGCAAGGTCCCCACCAAGCTCACGGAGACCTCGGATTCAAAAATCAACTTGAAGTCAGAGCACAGCATAGAGCCAGAGTAATATAAACCACGAGTTTATCCTCGAATTAAGACCCAATAACATCTCGCAGTTCAGCAGCATTGATTCAAGCGAGCCTGACTGATGAGACCCCCAAAACACCGCCGCCACCACCACTACAAGCTCCATCCATACCCCCCACATCTCCCACTCTCCCCTACAGACTCCTATCCCTGCCGCTTCCCCGCCCCTCACTGAGGGAGGCAGTGGGGGAGCGGAACCCCCGATGGAGACCCCTCCACGGAGACGCCGGCACTCACCAGACAGGAAGGAGAGGAGCACGAGGATCGGGAGGGAGACGCGGGCCACTCGCACGTCCATGATCCCCGACTCTCCCACTCCTCTCCACGGATCACGGGGTCTCCAATAATGATGCTGGAGGTGGTGGCGATGGCAGTGGGGATGTGATGATGGAGTTCACGTGGAACTGATGGTGATGCAGCCTCTGAGTTGATGGTGTTCAGTGGGATTTGATAACGATGCCGATGCTTTCCTCGGGCAACTGACGACGACGATGATGTTGCTGGTGACGATGGTCGCGGGGAACTGCCGGCGACGTTGCTGGATGTGAAGTTCGGGACGACGCTGCAGGCGAGGGCGGCCACAGGAGCAGCGCATGGGACTCGCGCACTCGAGTGAAGCCAAACATATGGGCGGGGGGGAGGGGCGGGGGGAGTGAGAGGGGCGGGGCTTGAGGAAGGAGGAGGGAGGGGCGCGTTTTGAGGGAGTTGAAGTTAAAGTTGCCACCTTTGAGATCTACGATTCTGGGGTGTTTCGTGAGAATATCTCTCACAATAGCTAAAGAGGGGAACAGCTGCATTGAAACGTCTTCAGTGGTGTATAGCCGCCATTATTATTACGCAACTGACACAATCCTGGGCGGCTTTTCGTGTCTTTGGGACGACTTACAGATTTCCCCAAGATTACCGAGTCATGGACGATACCGGGAATGCCTGGAACAGGTGGCAAGTCGCCTTGGAGAGGCGGGGCTTAAGAGTTAGAAGGGCGGGGCACCCCCTTGAGCCCTCCGCCCCCCTCCCCCCGGACCGCATCACTTCCTGCCACGGTTCAATTGTCCTGGGTGCAGTCACGTGGCGCGTATTATTGATGGATGAATGCCTCCCGATGCCTCGTGTGTTTTGACCATACTTCACCACGCTGGTGAAGAGGTGGGAAGGCCCAGAAGCTGTTCAGATATCACTCACCAGTGATGTTAGCCCTGGCCGGTTGATCGAACACAGGTCGCCGGGTTTAAAGCGCAGTCCACTAAAACCAGGTTCATATTATTACTCCGCTTGTTTTAATCAATATAGCCTCACTGAGTCTCAAGACACTTTTTCAGGAGGGTACTGCCAAGGTTTCGCAGCAGATAAGTCATGTTGCTGCTGCTGCTATATGTGTGATCCCAAGCGAGTAATTTGCAGGCGATGTCGGCATTGTGATGTTTAGCCAATACCGGGACCTCTGTGGCGAGTGGGGGGTTAGCTATGGGAGGATGAAACCGAAGGACCCGGAGGAACCCATCCAGAACAGGGGGCAGACAGAAACCTTCACACTCCACAAAGAGGGACCCGAGCCGTGAATCGCCGCTACCGCCACCCCTGCCGATTAAGGGTGCAGCCCTGCAACTGCGGTGGTAGCGCCTGCACTGGAGGGGGCAGCCATTCTGACTGCGGGGTGCACAAAGGCGGTTTCGGGGGTGGGGATGGGGGGCGTTTAGGAAACTTGGTCCATCGTTTCAGCTGCCGCGCCCGGAGTTGGAATCCTGACGTCACTAAGGCATGGCCCATCCCTGCACCGTGACAACCACGGGGCAAATGTCGTCGTTGCCGCCTTACGGCCAACGGCGGGTCATCTGAGCTGGCGTTGGAAATTCCACGTTCGTATGACGGGAACGGTGACACGTGAAGAGAGAGAGCAGGAGACGCGCGGCATTATTTAATTATTTTATTTCGCAGCGCGTAAATCGAAACGAAACGCAACACCAACACAATGACGACTACTACTGCTGCAGCAGCAGCAGCGCACTGAGCACAGGCAACGCGTGCCGGTGTCATCGTGCCACAACATGTGTTGTTGTCGTCGCTGTGATTGTTTATAGATTATGGTTAATGTTGATTGTTGTGGTATTTGTTGTGATCGTTCATGTTGTTATTGTGGTTGTCTGCCCCCCATATAATGATGTTTAAATTACACCACGTGGGGTAATGTTTGTCGTCCTTCTCCCGCACTTGCGATTGCCACGGTTGGCTACGCGTGGTGTGAAAGAAGTTCAACACACAACATACATGTGCCACATATTTAGTTGTTGATTGTTCTTGCTGTTCGATTGTGATTTTTTTGGGTAATTTCTTTGGTAATTGTTTATACATTTCAGTTATATGCGTTGGTCTTGTTTTAATGTAATAGTGTTCAGTTGTAAGTGTTTGCAATTAATGCTGGTGTTATCTGTTGTGGTGTGTTGGGTCGCTCATTACTGCGCTGGTTACGTCATATATGGGAAAGATGCATGTTGTTGTTGTTTGGTTGTGCATCGCATTTTTGTTTGATCAGAATTCACAGCAGTCGCTCTATTAACCCGACATCAGAACACCTCCTCCATCTCTCACGTTCGTATTGATACCTCGTTAAATAAAATCATCACGAACACCCTCACGGGGTCATCGTTGCAAACGAAGAGACTCGCATAGTGCAGAGCACGCACGTGGGAAGCCACGTGGCAAGGGCGCACGACAGCCAATCGCGAACGAGGAAGCCGTGGTTGTGCCTCCGCGCTAACCGTGCACGGGGCGAAAGCGCAGCGAGGGGGCAGCGAGGAGACGACTGTGCCCAACCCCTCACCCCTCCCCAACAGCCCCTCCCCAACAGCCCCTCCCCCACAGCCCCTCCCCTCACCTCTCATGCATCCCGACAAAGACCTTCGTACCCCTCCCCCAGTCTGGACCCAACCCAGCGCCCCTCCTCCCACCCCCCATTAATTCCCCATAGCCCCCTCGCCCCACTAAAAAAAAAACAGCCAATGACGAGCTGCGCGTCAAGTCACATGACTGGCACATGGCACGTTCTGCCGCTCCTGATAACAAATATGGCGCTAACTACAATCCCCAATCGGCACGCGGCGCGGTTGTAATGGGCAGGGTCCCTCACCAAGGAGATTGACAGATCGTAAACCACAGCGGCACAGTGCTGCTCTGTGCTTTAGCAGGTGAGGGCCCATTGCGATGCATTACCTCTTGTGATTGACGTCCTTTATTTAACCAAATAGATAAGCATAAAATACATCTCCTTCACATATCGGCCCCTCCACATTAAAAATAACGAGTATTTCTTACACAAGCCCTCGGTCGCACGGCCTTCTGGGAGCACTTAAGTTCAGCAGCATTGACTTGGCTCGAACAAACTCCGGACCGGTTTCAACACTCAAGTGTCTCATCAGTCAGGCTCGCTTGAATCAATGCTGCTGAACTGCGAGATGTTATTGGGTCTTAATTCGAGGATAAATACTTTAAAAAAAATGTATGTAGGGGTACAGATGCGCGAGGGAGACATTGCCTGCTTCTCCAATTTGTTAGTGATATTTTCCACGACGTGGCGAATTATTTTATTTAACCAGTTGAGAGACAATTGGGATCTCTTTCCTCTTGCGACGGACGTCCTTTATTTAACCAGGTGCAGGGCCACTGAGATGCACCTTGCAATCTAAAGTGCACCTCGTGGTATCGAGTCAATTGGTGAAAGTCATCACTATTTTCTCACTTGACATTCGGCTATAACACTGAAAGAGAAAATTGGCAACTCGAATGCAGACTTGACAAGGCCTCTAACGTCCACTTACCACCAGAGGGAACACTTTAGTAAGTTTTTGTAAAATAAATTCCTTGGCGGTCACAGCCAGGAATTGCACTGCGACGAAGTGCCAAGGTGACTCAGTGTAAACGTGGTCACGCCCACTCCACTCATGGCTCCGCCCGCTTCACATAAACCCCGCCTCTTTCACACGAGGCGACGCCCACTTTGAAAAATGCCCCGTCCACTCCGCTCACAGGCTCCGCCTGGCTGGCTCCGAGGCTCCGCCCCCCGTGCCCCGCCTCTCCTCGGCTCCGACCTCCGCGTCGTTCCAGCGGTAATTGACTGAAACGAGTCGATTGACAGCAGCAGCTCATTCCTCAGCCCATGCACGCCCCTGCCATCTAAATCATTATCTTACGTTACCGCTTAATAAACTATGTCAAGCGCCTTGAGTAAAGGCGCTCTAAAAATATTACGTGAGAAAAGCTGCCATTAGTCGATTAGGCGGCAATTAGCTAGCGACGACGTCACCGTAGAGAGTGATGTCAATTACAGCGGGTGACGTCAAACGCAGCGGGCGATGTCAATCACAGCGTGTGATGTCAATCGCAGCGGGTGACGTCAATCACAGCGTGTGATGTCAATCGCAGCGGGTGACGTCAATCACAGCGTGTGATGTCAATCGCAGCGGGTGACGTCAATCACAGCGTGTGATGTCAATCGCAGCGGGTGACGTCAATCACAGCGTGTGATGTCAATCGCAGCGGGCGATGTCAATCACAGCGTGTGACGTCAATCGCAGCGTGCGACGTCAATCGCAGCGTGCGATGTCAATCGCAGTGGGTGATGTCAATCACAGCAGGCGATGTCAATCGCAGCGGGTGACGTCAATCACAGCGGGTGATGTCAATCACAGCGTGTGATGTCAATCACAGCGGGCGATGTCAATCACAGCGGGTGACGTCAATCACAGCAGGCGACGTCAATCGCAGCGGGTGACGTCAATGACAGCGGGTGACGTCAATCACAGCGTGTGATGTCAATCACAGCGGGTGATGTCAATCACAGCGTGTGATGTCAATCGCAGCAGGCGATGTCAATCGCAGCGGGTGACGTCAATGACAGCGGGTGACGTCAATCACAGCGGGTGACGTCAATCACAGCAGGCGACGTCAATGACAGCGGGTGACGTCAATCACAGCGGGTGACGTCAATGACAGCGGGTGACGTCAATCACAGCGGGTGACGTCAATCACAGCGGGTGATGTCAATCACAGCGGGTGACGTCAATCACAGCAGGCGACGTCAATCACAGCGGGCGACGTCAATCACAGCGGGCGACGTCAATCACAGCAGGCGACGTCAATCGCAGCGGGTGACGTCAATGACAGCGGGTGACGTCAATCACAGCGTGTGATGTCAATCACAGCGGGTGATGTCAATCACAGCGTGTGATGTCAATCGCAGCAGGCGATGTCAATCGCAGCGGGTGACGTCAATGACAGCGGGTGACGTCAATCACAGCGGGTGACGTCAATCACAGCGGGTGATGTCAATCACAGCGGGTGACGTCAATCACAGCAGGCGACGTCAATCACAGCGGGCGACGTCAATCACAGCGGGCGACGTCAATCGCAGCGGGTGACGTCAATCGCAGCGGGTGATGTCAATCACAGCGGGTGACGTCAATCACAGCGGGCGATGTCAATCGCAGCGGGTGATGTCAATCACAGCATGTGATGTCAATCGCAGCGGGTGATGTCAATCGCAGCGGGTGATGTCAATCACAGCGGGTGACGTCAATCACAGCGGGCGATGTCAATCGCAGCGGGTGATGACTCTGCACGCGGAA